TTCCTGCCCACCCCTGCCAGTGCAGATTCTCCAATTTCGTGTGCAAAACTTGGTGTTTTCTCATGCCTTCCCAAAGCCATTTCAAATAGAAGATATTCACATATATTATTCCGGCCAACCCCTGCCAGCGCAGATTCTCCAATTTCGCGTGCAAAACTTGGTGTTCTCATGCCTTCCCGAAGCCATTTCAAATAGAAAATGTTCACATATATTATTCCTGCCCACCCCTGCCAGTGCAGATTCTCCAATTTCGTGTGCAAAACTTGGTGTTTTCATGCCTTCCCAAAGCCATTTCAAATAGAAGATATTCACATATATTATTCCTGCCAACCCCTGCCAGTGCAGATTCACCAATTTTATGTGCAAAACTTTGTGTTTTCATGCCTTCCCAAAGTCATTTCAAATAGAAGATATTCAAATATATTATTCCTGCCCACCCCTAAAAGCCCAGATTCGCCAATTTTATGTGCAAAATTTGGTGTTTTCATGCCTTCCCAAAAGCATTTCAAATAGAACATGTTCAACTATGAAAACTTAGATTCTACCATTTTATTTGCAAAACGCGGTGTTTTGATGCCTTCAAAATGCATTTTAAATAGAAGATATTCAAATACATTTTTCCTCTCCACCCCTGCAAGGCCAGATTCGCCAATTTTATGTGCAAAATGCGGTGTTTTGAAGCCTTCCCAAAGGCATTTTAAATAGAAGATATGCACATATATTATTCCTGCGTTCAAAACCGGCTGTTTTCAGGTTTTTTCAATGGTGTTTTGAATAGAAGGTATTCAAATATATGATTATTGCATCACCCCTGGCAGCCCAGATATTCACCAATTTTACGTGCAAAACTGGCTGTATTGGGGCTTTTCCACAGGCATTTCAAATAGAAGATATTCAAATTATTGTCTTTCTCCAGGGATCGCGAGGTTAGAGCATGATCTGAAAATGCTTTTGACAATTGGATGTATGTTTTTTCCTAGTGTTGTTCGGTGTTTCGGGATCTCTATCATTTTTCATTTGAAGACTGCGTTTTTGTGCCCCCTTTTATGCCCAGCCTATGAAGGCCCAAAACCAAGCCAAAAATCAATTATCTTCTATTTGAAAACTGTTTTTCATGCATTTGGGATCTGTCGAACTCATGGGGTTACAAATGAATATCTTCTATTTGAAAACCATTTGGTGGAACTCTCTGGGTTCCCTCATGAAATAATATCTTCTATTTGAAAAGTGTTTTTCAGTACTCCTCGAATATCTTCTATTTGAAAAATAAATTGCATTACAGATTATCTTCTATTTGAAAAGTGGTTTGAATCACCATCCCCCAATCAAAAAAACTAAAAAACCCATGGTTTTTGAACAGTTTTTCACCGACCCCCCCCCCCGAAGGCGAGAGTGCCAAAGTACCTCCGGCCGGGTCCCACTTCGGGAGGTACTTTGGCACTCTCCTCTTCGGGGGGTCACCCAGGTCCGGGCGTCAATGTTCTATTGATTTTACATAATTTCCCTGCAAAAAAAACACAAAAAATGGCAGTGGGACAAAAGATTTTCAAATAGAAGATATTCCAAAGATCATCCCAATGTTGAGGGGTTTATTCTTGGATTTTTTGTCATTTGAACTACTTTTGCGCTCTGCAATATCTTCTATTTGAAAAGCGTTTGGCCGCACCCCCCAAAAAGCATCTTCTATTTGAATAATTCCTGAATATCTTCTATAATAACGGTATGTACTATATTCGGAAAACACGTTAAATTGAAAGAATGCGACTACAGCCATTTGAATAACCCCCCTAGTCTAGTTAGTTACAAACCAGTAACTTAGTTAAGTAGGAGGCACCACCTACCTTGGACTGTATGTTCATTGTCTATCTAACTAAATAATTGATCTAAATAAATCTGAATAATCTAAATAATCTACATAATCGAAATAATCTAGAAATTTTATCTATCTATCGATCTATCTATCTATCTATCGATCTATTTATTTATCTATCCATTTATCTATCTATCTATCTATTTATCTATCTATCTATCTTTCTGTCTGTCTATCTATCTATCTATCTTTCTATCTATCTATCTATCTATCTATCTATCTGTCATCTATCTATCTAGCTATCTAGCTATCTAGCTATCTATCTATATATCTATCTATCTATCTATCCATTTATCTTTCTGCCTCTCTATCTATCTATCTATCTATCTATCCATTTATCTTTCTGCCTCTCTATCTATCTATCTATCTATCTTTCTATCTATCTATCTATCTATCTGTCTGTCTGTCTGTCTGTCTATCTGTCTATCCATCTATCCATCTATCCATCTATCCATCTATCTACATATCTATCTATCTATCTGTCTATCTATCTGTCTATCTATCTGTCTATCTATTTATCGATCTATCTATCTATCTATCTATCTCACTGTCTATCTATCTATCTATCTACCTATCTACCTATCTACCTACCTACCTATCTATCTATGTATATACTCATCTATCTATGTATCTATTTATCTATCTATCTCATCTCTACACATGCATGATGCACAGGGTTTCAATGCAAGTACTCAGATTGAAACCCTCATCTCCATCCTGCTCCAGCAATCCAGTCAGTGCAGCATACAGTGATAGACAGCTACCAGACATATGGGTCTTTAGAATGTTCAACAATTCTTAAAATGCAAAAGTAGAAATACACACATCACCCTCGCAACGTTTCAAACAACATAAAGAAATTTCAATCTTTGGAGGGGAGCCATCCAGTTCCTAAGGATCACCCAGTCATCCCATCCCAACTCGTCCCAACTGACCTGCTCTTCTAAGTAGTTGGACTCCAAGTAATCACAGAGTTGCGCCTTGAAGTCCAACGTTTAAGAAACCACCGACGGAATATATGACGTGTGGGTCATAGTAACCACATATCAGTGGCTAGTGATGGCTAGTGGATACTACTTCCTCAAAATCTAAGGGCCTGGAATCCACAAAGTCTTCTCATGCAATTTTGGGCTACCCAAAAATGCTAGGCCCAGCCGCACAAAAAACATGTAAGGGTTCAGAGGGTTCCATTATTGTCAAGTAGCTCCCCAGAAGCAAAAAGCTTCGGATTTTGGCAAGAACACCTGAATATGTATCTGCAAAAGAAGTTCCAATGGCATATGAACATCATTGAAGTAATTTTTCTTGAGTTGGCATTAAGTTTATACCCGCGGTCCAAGTCACATCATCTGCGTCAGAAGCTACCTGTGACCAAGGCAGGCAAAGGGCCAAGTTGAACAGCCAGCTTCTTTGCCAAAATCAATTACCTTACTTCGAGTGATTCCCATCCTGACACACTATTCCGACATAGTTTCTGGCATATCATCTGGAAGTGTATATGGCATATGTATTCTGACATCTGAGAGTCTTTCTGGCATCTATTCAGGCATTCATTCCTGCATTCTATCCGGCATCTATTCTGACAGTCTTTCTGGGATTCTATCTGGCCTTCTCTCTGGCATGAGTTCGGGTCCAGGCGCACTCCACAGCATCATGGCTCGGATCCATTCATGTCCACAGTCCCCCCGAGACGGCAGAGGACGGAGGCGGAGGAGGTGGAGGAGGAAGAAGGTGAAGGTGAAGAAAGTGAGGAAGGTGGCGAGGAAGGTGAGCAAGGAGTTACACATTTGTTAAAATCTAGAGACCCCTACCTGGCAAGTGGGAAAACAAACCAGATTCAACAATGGCAACCAGCAAAACATCATAATATTAAACCAAGCATATACCATATACCCATAGAAAAATATCAACGAAGTACAATCAAGTGATACTAAGTGTACTTGCACCTATTTTGAAGAATTTGCTCTTTTTGTTGGGTCTACGTACCACGTTCTACCATAATATTTTGAACAGTGAACAGAACAAAAGCTACAGTCCTCATGTTTTCATGGCCCCGCCACTTTCTGACCTGCGGCTTTCTAGAATTTCCCAATCCCCAACATACGCAATATCTGGCCGGAATAATATGTGTCTATTGCGTATAGAAATGTAGGGTCCATCATCATATTATGCCAATATGGGGCCATAATGGGTGGATATTTGAAATCGCAAGGGATGAGGAGGTATTATCGACACTTTCTGGCCATTTTGACGTTGGGAACATGGCAAAACACCGTGAAAATTCTGAGTGAAACCTGATCATTCTTCACCCAACACCCGGCACCAGGCTTCCCGACCTTGTGAATCTTCAGGAGAGCATGGTTCACATTGATCTCCTAGTCGCAGCCCCATGGGCATTATCGGCTCGAAAGGATCCCCTAAAGGATTTCATCAGCAAACCAGTGGATGTGAACCCTGGATCCTGGATCTTTATTCACCCTGGTTGACCATTGTACCAAATCTTAATATCAAATAAGATCACATTTAGGGGTATTCAATTTCCCCTACAATCAATCGCGGGGGTTGGCACTATGTTCAAATGGTTTATGTAACTCAGTTGCATGTTGGGATAACCGCAGTCACATTATTTACTATTATTTACGCAGGATTGTTTTCACAAGGCATATACAACCTGGCAACCAGGCAACCTTTCTGACCTAACACGGAAAATCCTTCTGGTTTGCTGCCAAAACCCGCAGCAATTGTGCATATACATCCAAGTTTTGGCTGATGATGATGTCATCACATTTGCAGTTTCGAAGCATGTGTTTGCACCATCAAGTTCAAAACGCATGGGTTTCTCTCAAAAACAACTTCAAGCAATGCAACAAATCGTCCAGTCCAATGGGAGAATACTCCCAAAGGCCGTCATTTTTCTGGTACTGGCAACCAACAGTTATACTGCTAAACAATCCCCGATTTCTGGATGGCTGGTGTCTGATTCCCAAGAGTGAATACCATTCCCAAAACACTGATACGAAGATAAACTTAGATAGTTTTTGGAAGATCTTACAATACCTTTGAAAGTATGGTTAAATCTCAAAAAACATTCCGTCATTAATCGCGAAGACAGCTAAGTTAAGTTAGTAACCTACGCTTTACATCGCCAAAAACGACTCGACTGAAACCATCGCACCATCTTCAATGCCGTCTCCATGGCATCCAATGCGCTGGAAAAGACATGGTCCTGGCAACTGGCAGAGGAGGGGAAGGGTCCCAGTGGAAACAAATGACCAACATGGTCAAATAATGTCGAATAGCTACCTCAAAGATGGTTCAGGCAACTCAAATTGATTACATATATATATATATATAACATAAATAATAAATATCACTTATATAACCAATCAATATAAAACAATGGGGGGGATTCGTTCCGGAAAATGTGCAGTAGATTCAGATTTGCATCCCCCATGGGCCCGGCAACCTCAGCCGCTTTCCCGGTCCTCTGGCTCTGGAATGTTGCTTGGAACATATCGTCCACCACGGAGATTGAGATATTTGATGAACTTCTCCTGGGATCAAAACTCAGATTCTCTGATTTGCAGATGGCAATGAAGCGCAATGAAGCCAGAGTCCGCCCTGAAAAGGTCAACATGTCAGATGTTTTCTGACCCTTTCCACCTGGACTTGACCCTGCCAGGAAAAGAATCTGATCCAACTGTGCAGGCAGCCGTTGCCTTTCATGATTTGCTCATTACTGATGTGTTTCTGTCATGTTCAAATATATGGTTGATTTGAAACGTGACCATTTCCGATTTCCCGTAGCAGGTTTGGATGATCAAAAGGGCATCCATGTTTGGATGTCTTGTGCCTGATAACAGCTTATTCTCCATGCAAACGAGGTAAAAACACAAAAAGTTGGGCAAAATATAGTAATATAGTGCAAATATACACAAATCTGTATTTCTGTGGGGCACAAATTCACTGGTCTATACTATACTGGTCATCTTCAAGATGGACCTTCCAAAGGTCAAACCAGGGGCAACCAGTATGTCCCAGTCGTCCATGGGGCAACCAGGGCTCAGCATGCTCACGTTCTTCCTCACTCTGTTTCTGCGCCCACTCCTGAAAGGCTGAAAGGTGAATGACTGGACGACAGCGACTCGAGGCAACCGCGCAACTCGTAGGATTCACAAAAAAGAGCAGAGGACACTGACACGTATCTTTGGGTAAAGTACTCATCTATTCAATCTATTCATCTCATCTCATCTCCCGTGACTCTGATGCTCAGGGATGGCAATCAGAACCGTAGCACATCATGATGCTGATGATTCTGTAAATTGCCCGCATCGTCCAGAACCGTCCTTCCCCCATCCCCTCCATACCCCTCCCCATCCTTAAAGCCCGGCAGTGCCACATCAGCACGGTCGAAATAGGCAGCCATCCTTGCTTCGAAGGGAGCTGAAACTGGCCCCAAAGATGTGAAGAAAACAAACAAAAACTGTGGATTCAGAGCAGCAGAAACAGTGCAGGGCGCGACTTATATAAGCAAATTGATGAATCTCAAAACCACAAAAACAATATTGAACTCAACCAATCAAAGTGGGGATTCCACCAACAGAAAGTGCGGATTCTGATACTAAAAGTCTTTCACCTTATCACAGGAAGAACACACATACCCACTTTCGGTCAAGTAGGGCAACGATCTACTTTTCACCAAAGACACAAACAGTTTGGAAAGTAGAATAAACCTAGAATACTTTCATCCGCGTCTGGATCAAATTTCAACATCTTCAAACAATTTGAGTGCAATGTTCAGCATTTTGAACATCTACCTCCAGACTAGTCCTGACTTGCAGTCCACACCTGCCATGCTGCCATTTCTTCAGAGTTTGGATCCCCTTCCCAAGGCACGCAAGGTAGGCGTGAGATGCACTCAGCTCCATCTGCACCTCCAGTGAACTGGAGTGGTTCTTGGGGAGTTTTTTGTTCCAGAAATATCCAGAAATCCCGGGCTCCAGAAATCCCGGGCAAAACAAACATGGAATTCTTGGTTTCCTTTGGCTGTGTCTGAAAATGGTGTATCTGTATTAATCATACAACTACTATTTCAATACAAGTATTTCATACAGGGATGGCATATGATATGTATTTCAATACAATATTTCATACAACTATATGTTTATATCATAATCATCCTGTATATATCCTCAAGTTATGGCAATTTCAATACAACTGATGATTCACCCACTGGACAAAAGCGGCTTTTCGTACCATTTGGTCAAGCCACAGGTGTTTATTTATCTCAACAGGTGGACAGTTGGACCATCCGATTTGACTGGTTGACAAAGCTTCCCCTAGTGGCTTATTACAAGAATTACAGTAGGTAGATTTAGGTAGTATAACATAGTAGAACACCTGTCCGAAATCTAAGAATTGTAACAATTGCATACTCAGTAACGCTATGGGTCAAAATTCGGCACCCCAAAATCAAATGGTGAATCAAAACTGCCAAAATCGGTCCCGTGAGTCTGAACAATTTTGACTCACAACCATATATAGATTAGATTAGTAGGTAGTATAAGCCCTATTTCACCATATAATTCACCTTTTTTAACCCCTATTTCAATCTATTTCACATATTTTGGGAGCTAACTTTTACCTGTAGTTACCTGTCCTCCCACCCTTGGCCGCCTTAGCCCCCGCCTGTTGGTTCAGCAGGTGCTCTGCCTGCTCACCGAAATTCTGTCGAAAGCGAATGCCTGTGGAGGCAGCACCTGGGTGAAGAAAGCGGATCCACCATCCTCAACGAGACGTTCCACTTTGGTGATATAAACATATATAGACCATCATTTCATGAAATGATTAACTAGTATATAACATATAGATATAACCAATAGATCAATGGTGGTTGATATAGGCATATATATATAACCAATAAACATTGCTTTACTAGCATTAAAGGGGAGCAAGCAACAAGAACTGGGAGACAAGAGTGAGGATTCACCGCTAGCCGCTAACAATTGAAGATCTTACCCATCAACGAAACGTGGAGAATTACCCATCCGGATGATTAGACTATCAAACATGTAGATTAACCGATTAACCATGATATAATGGGGATGTACTGGGGGTATATATATATAGATATATAGATGAAAATGGATACATTCCAAATGAAGAATTGGTTACAAAAAACAGTGACCCATGTAATAAATTGCAACCATGGCAGTTATCCATTGCTCACATGACCTAAATCTTACAGTACCCCATTCCATCCCATGATGTATCATCATGTTTCTTATAAACAGGATGCCATAAATCTGGTTCAAATCTCCAAATTTCGGGCAAATGAAATGTAACATATGGTTGTTTCAATATAGTTTATATCCTAGATTTATATCTATTACACATTCATATTGCGCATTTTATGTATACCCATATCGATATACTCATTAACTATATATGCAATGAAACATATTATTATTATTAATATTATTATTATATAGTTATATGATTATATAATCTATGGTCGAAAAACAGGTGGTCGTCTGTATTTCCACTATATATACCACTATATATAATTATAAACATATCTATTCATTCATTGAATTGTACATACCATTATTGATCTTTATCCATAATCTATAATCCATCATAGCTATCCATCATACATATAAAATATTATTGTATTGATCCATAATTCCATGACACATATATCAACTAATATCAACTATCTATGTGTATATATATATATATGTTATATTTGCATCAATGAATTAATTTCATCCCATGTGATATCCCCATTGAATCCCATTGTGGGATCCAAAAGTGTGTAACACCGACCATTTCTAGGCGCTGCCGCCATGCTCCTCTAAAACTTCCCGGTGCGACGACGGCTCCGGCTCAGCGCTCTTCAGCGCACGATTGATCTCCTGGCGACGCCAGGGGATATCCGAGCCATGGCAATGGATGAAGAGACTAGGGACATGGCAATGTAACATCCCCCTTTTATTTGTAAATGAAATGAAATCCTTCATAAATTATCATTTACAAATATGGGAATAGATGAATAGATCATTTTCCCATAATTATAAATGATAATTTATGAAGCATGTCCCAGCTAGCCATATTTGCTTGCTGGAGGCAATGCCATGCTTTTTTTTTCCGATTCAGACATGGGGAGATGAACAACAGAGGACATTCAGACAGCTCATTAACAATCAGCCTGGGAACATGCATTGGTGTTGGAACATTGCTCAAACAGCAAGTAGATGTTCAAACAATTAAGATGAGCAGGAGGCAATCACAAAAATCGAAAACCCAACATTGAAGGAATAGAAAAAAATGCATGAGGTTCTACCCAAATGGTTGCTTGCCCAGTAACAAATCTTTCAAAATGGAATTTGTCTCCTAGAAAGAGAAAGCCGATGTCCCTACATCGTGGTACTGTGTGGGGTGTGCACCGCCCGAACATCAAGCTATACCTGCCAGCCATGTTGGTGTGAAAAGCACGGCCAACTAAACCCAAACAACCTCATCTGTTCCTGAGACTGCTAAAACATCTGAAACACAATTTGTTCCATTATTTCCATTCTTGTTCTTTCAATCAACCACAGTCTGTTTCACCACGATGTCCCTTGCGTTCTGTCCTTCTCTACATGCGTCTTGATTCGAACCTCACCGGAACAGGCTCTGCAGGAAATTTGCTGTGCATCTGTGAGCAGAGAGCCATTGAAGTTATGAAGAGGTTTGGCCACTTCCAAATATTGAGCCCCATTTAACAGAGAATATGGATAGCCATGGATAACCATAACTCCGAAAATCTCCGTGAAAAACCACCAGATATGTCAAATATTAAATCTTGTCAAATGATGCAAACTGCAATCGACAAGTTGGCAAGTTTTTATTGGCATCTTGGTCTCAGCCAAAACTGTAGCACGGATATATATATATATATATTGTGATTGAGCCCAAAGCTTGAAAGTTGTATATATTTTGACACAATTGGATAAACTGCTAAATCCTATTGAACCATCGTTTTAGAGTTACATAGCCAGATCAACCCTCAATTTTAAGCCCCATGTTCTGGGTTACCCTCACGTAATCAAACAATGGTTGCCGGAAAATACATCATTTGTTTGATGACATATCAACCAATAATCCATTACTCGTCCATGAATATGAATATCCCATATCCTTCATATTCCATTACATATCCATATCCCATGTATTCCCATGTTATCCCCATGATAGACCCATTAAAAAAATGGGTTTATGTTCTTCCCATGTTTTTGCTGGGTTTATGTTGTTTAAATCCCCATAAAAGATTCCCAACCGACTGAGCCCATGGCATCTTCCTTGGGATACGATGTGCAGGTGAGGCCTAGGGTCAGGAAGTAAGGACCTTGCCTGGAAATATGGCAACCATGGGGGATGTAAGCCATCTATGGAAATATGGCAAATATGGAAAACTGTTGTTTAATAAATTTAACAATCTAAAATCTAAACATTTATGGAAATAGATGGTTAATGGGGTCTGGAAATGTGAACCATGGAAATATAGATTTTATGGAAACATGTTATGACATCTAAAAAAGGGGTGTAACAATCCAACACGGTGATTTGCTCATTAAATGATGATGTATGATTGAAACACCCAAAAATACTGTACGAAGGTCTATCTTTTTTTAGGCTGCTATACGAAGACATATTCATATATATTATATACAGATCATGCATTCCATAATGTATACATGATACAATTACAATATGGAAAATGCATCTATAAGAATGACACCACTCACCAAAAGTGTCAGCACTCACCCTGCAAAAGAAGTCACGTAAAGGCACCCGACAACCATCCTTCGCATGGCAATCATCATGCTCTGTACTCTTTTGGCGAAGCCCATCTGTCTGAAGTTGCCAAAAACAAGTGTATCTTGAGGTAACTAAAGACTCTCAGTGGCTTCGTACTACTCCTCTGCACAATCCATTCCACGTTTGAATTATCCCTTTGTGCCTTTGTCTTCCTGTCTTTTTCACCGATTAAGCCATTGTGTCATACCTTTATTACATTTTGCGGGTTGGTTAATAGGATATGTTCATGGATTGTGACAATCCCCAATACATAAATTGAAGTACAATCCCCGAACTCATCATCAACCAACCATCATTTATCATCTATATCACTATATCAACTATATTCCCACAATCCCTTTATTAAAATGTGGTTTCATTCACCAACAGGGGCTGAGTTCGAAAAAGCCGCGGCTCGCCAAGCCGCAAAAACCATCCTTGATCTGCTCGTCGGTCAAGAAAGCCTGCTCGGATTGATCCACGCTGCCTTCCAGCACCTGTGCCCCATAGGATGGGAAATCAGGAGGATAGGATGAGGACAGGCATGGGAAAAAAAATATATATATAAATATATATTATTATATATTTGGTATTGGGTAATATCACATGGTTGATCAAAATAGATGCAATGATACTGTCAGTGCTGTCCCTATTGACATGTTGCTAGATGATATTACCCCCATTGACATCCATTGACTTCAGATATGTCTACCGTAATCGCTGGTCAACCTACTTGTAGAGTCTTATAAACCACCTTTCATGGAATATGATGGACACTGAGGCACAACTATCTAAATTGGCATGTACCACATGCACCCCCTCGAGCTGCTGACGTTTCTTTTTACATATTTTGCGTGTTGTGACATGGTCATCAACCAAGTGCGTCACATTTACATCGTTCTGAGTACAGAGCATGATGCAAAAATAAGTATATATGTCTAATGATAGAACTGATCTGCTGGAAAGATGTCATGGCATGTATAAGTATATATTACTTATATATTATTTATATATTATTTATATATTATATTATATTATGTTATGTTATGTTATATTACATTATATTATATTATATATATCATATCATATATACTAAGTCACCAGCAGATAGAATATTCAAAAAACACTGGACAACAGATAGAATAGTCCAAAACGCTATCAGCAAATCCAACAGATAGAATATTCATGATAAGCAAAACATTAAAGAAACTATATGATTTTGATGATTTTTGCAAGCAAATCAAGAGATAGAATATTCTCACCTGCAAAAATGATGTATCCCTAAAATCATTGATTCTCTATGGGATTAATGAAATAATATTGCATTTGTGTTTCAATGTTTTCCATACCTTAAATCATTGATTCTCTATGGGATTGCTGAGAAAAAATGATGCATTTGGTTTCAGCGTTTTCCATGATGTTATATTTTTGAAATCATTGACTATCTATGGGATTGCCGGGAAAATGTTGCATTTGATGTCAATGTTTTCCACAATATTGTATCCTTCAGATGATTGAATAGCTATGGGATGATTAGGAAAACATTGCATGTGGTTTCTACTAATTGCACATCCAAACACATGAAAATTGTATTCTTTCTAAGGCTTGTGCCAATGTTTTCCTAATATATGATATTTATAGAATGTGACCACTGGCAGCCAGCAAAGCTGGCATCCAGTCTGAATATTCTATCTGTTGATTTTTGAAGACTTTTTAAAAAGAAATAATCTACAAATATATATACAGACAACATTATATTTTGGAATTCTTCCAAAACCATACCTTCAACATCTCCCACCCACCACGCGCTGAGAAAACGCAACTGATTTTTTCACAGTGCTACGTTTCGTCCATGTGTTTGCTGCATAGCTCGTTGTTCTCGCACTCACCATTCACATCATTCTCTTTGTTCTGCTCATCACCTTTCTGTCGTTCGTCTACATCATCATTTCCTGCAAAAGATTGTTGCTTTTGAGTACTTGATGCAGTTTCTCCATCTTGTTCATCGAACTCTTCAGTCATCCACGCATTGGCAGCTAGTAGAAGATTATGATCCTCAGCTCTTTCTTCTGCACGTGCATTTTTGCGTTTGCGCTCACGCTTGTTCTTGAGGTCCTTGATCTTACGTAGTTCCTGTTCCCTCTTATTCCAGGGTGCTGGGATCCACTTGTCTGCGTATACCATGGCAGAAAGGTTGCTACCATGAATGGTTATATATATATATATATGTATTGTTTTGGTGCAATTATATATATATAACTAAACATTGATAATACATTTTATTCTTGATATATATATATATATGTCTGGTCGAAACAAAAACTTGCACATGCTATAGTATAGAAGTTTTTCCAACACCAAATCACTGTGAGCCTTGGTAGGAACAAACATAAAATGAAAGCATCATCACAGTCATAGAAATAAATCATGATAATAATAATAATCATCATCATAATCATCAAAATCATGTGTATATATATATATGGCTAGCCAGCAGCGCTGGCTTGCCATTTTGTTTTTGATATGATAGACATCAATGCTGGCACATCATTCGACCCATGGAACATACCTCATTAATCACCGATCTTTGGCATGTTTAAACCCTATGATTTGTTGGTTTTCTACCCAATTAGCTAGTAAATTCAACCAAAACTTGAAAGACAAAACCATGTTTTCTCTTCGATTGCTTCAAGATTTTGTTTCTTTCTACCCCTAGATCGTGCAAGACACTGCAGCCACTCTTGTCGTGGGCAAGTGTTTGAATTTATCAGCACACATCGAACTGTATGCCAAGCCCTATTGTATTGTTCAGCATGTCAATCCAGCACGTATAAAACAATAGAAATATGCAGGTGGATCCAACAGATAGAATATTCCAAAACATCACAACCACAAACAAAGTTAGATCTTTATCTATAAAGTTCATGTATTAAAACAGCAACACAGCTTTGCAAATCAAACATATTGATGATTTGATCTATATATATATACGTTTGCTGGAAACTCAGCTGCCACCATTGCAACCACCCTTGTCGTGGTCATATGTTTGAATTTGTGAGCGCACATCGAACTGTATGCCAAGCCATGCTGTGTTCAGCATGCTTATCCAGCACACATACAACAACAGATAGATGCAGCTGAACCCAACAGATAAATTATTCCTAAATACCATAAACCGTGAACAAAAACAGCTTTGCAAATCAAACATGTTAATGATTTTGTGTATATACGTTTGCTGGATAAGCAAAGAAGCCGAACTTACCCCTTAAGAAACATATTGTACACACATCAGCATGGCAACAGCAACAAATAAATTGAACATTTCAAATTCTGGTAGCCTTTCATGCCTCGTTCCATGCTTTGGTAACTCTGACCAGTTGGCCTTTTGCAATTTTGCCATTTTTGTTCAAATTGATGTGATCTTCCAACACAAGCTTGATAACCTCCAGCAATGCCTTCTTTGGGCTACGGTGTGCTCCCCATGTTCTACCATAGTGTTTTGATCCCGGATATGATGCACGCCAAGTGCATGATCCGGGATGTACACCTAGTGTTGATCCAGCTGGTTTGATGAGTAGACCAGCTTCTTGACATTCGATATACTCTTCCCTAAGCTCAGCTACACGAACACGACTGATCTTTGATGATTTTTCATCATCTTTCCCCTTTGGCTCAGATTCTACTTGCGACTCTGCTTTCTTGCATGTTTTGTCACATTGTTTTTGTGTTTCTTCTTCTGACTCTGTTTCAGAAAAAGCCCAGTGCCAACCATCTAAGTCCTGGGGGATAGTCTTCTCTGAGTTTTCGTTCTCAAACTCAAAGTCATGGTCCACATGGTGTTCTTCATCAGCATGCTCATCAGCATCATCAGCATGCTCATCAGCATCATTGATTGCGTCATCAATGTCTGTCTTTCCTGACACGTATGGTCTCAAACTGCAGAACTAAATTAGAAAACACATTATATATATATATATATACATATGTGTATATGGTGTAATATTCTATCTCTTGTGTTTGGGTTGTATTTTGTATTGTTTTCTTATTCACATATACATGCAAACATACAGTCAATTGTCACTGCAATGTTTACCAAAAAAATATTGCTGTGGTGTCCTGGTACGACGTCAAGCTCCTTCGGAATCTCCTTGCAAGGCTGCAGTCCTTGCAACAAAGCAAGCCGGAAAACTTGCCCATTTCCAGCACGAAGCTTCAGCAGTGATGGATCTTCGGCCATCTCCACTTTAAGAACGACACACTTTTGCTTGATATAGGTTGCGCTCTTTTTGTGCACATTCATCACATGGGATTGTCGTTCTTTGTTGAGAACAATGCGTCGAGTGTTTGCATGAAGCTGCCATGCCTGAAACAGGGATGCAATAGGGTTCACCTAACATACAAAAAGCATATGCATATATATATATATGTGTATATATATATATATACATTGTATAATTATTGTATATATATCACCCATGACACAGCAACAAAAAACAGTTATATATATTTATATATGTTCTTACCAGCTCAAAAAAACAGAATTCATTGTCCTTGTACTTCTCGTTGGATGCCGGTGGTAGCTCATAAGTTCCCTTTTTCTTGAAACGGTCATTCTTCTTGGATTCCCACTCATCCTTCTCAGCTTTCCATATTGATATGGTTCTGTCCAAAGGAATCTTGAACCAGTCGGGCAATGGGATAGGTTTGCTGCTGGGTGCTGAACTTGAACTGCTGCTTGCTGATGATGTTTCATCCTTCATCACACACCAACGACTCACAGATTCACCAGGCAAACGGGTGGTTTCAGCTAGTTGCAACTGTTGTTTTTTGCTCTCATCATCACCAGTTTCAGGTAGACTATCCAATGATAGTAGCTTCGACATAGCACCAGGAGTTTGTTTCATCAACTCTGCCACTTTCGTTCGATCACCGTCAAAAAGCCAGTCTGCGACATCTCCAACGTTTGTAAGCCCCCTGGAGAGCCATGCATACAAAATCATCTTTCCAGATTGGTAGTCTCTGAGAGATTTCAAGGCAAATGCGTCTGATCGAATGCTTGATTCGAACTCGGTCCTGAGTGACAGTGGTTCTTTTGGTGAAACTAGTTTTTGCAATCTCTTTTTGTTGTATTTGATTCCTAGGTGAAATGTCACAGTACATCAGAATATTCTATCTGTTGATTTTGCACTATTTTTTAAAAGAAAAACATTCAAAAACGCACACATGTACACGTCTAGCATCGTGAAGCGAACTGACCCATCCACTGATAAGTCAAGCTTGTCCAGTGCTGCCCTCAGCTTCATATGTCGCCCCTGTCCCACTGCAACCTTTTGATAGGATTGACGAAGCATGTGGTAAAACTGATGGAAACCATCATTAGGAGCCCCAGCAGCCCCCCAGCCGGGGGGTACCTTGATCACTGAAGATGATCCATGGCAAATAATTGCACAGTTGTCATGTTCCCATTGACGTCGAAGCTCATAGAATGCATGACACG